CCGTGTCCTATTAGGACAGTACACTGACATTTTACGACACTTGCGTCATTATAATGTTAACTGCCTGCGTAATTTTGTTCCATTATCTTTCCTGGCCAAGCCCAGACGATATGCTCCTGTTTTGATATTATTCATCTATTTATAAAAGTACGTACATTATCCTTACAGTAGCCAATACGATAATGTTAAAAAAATAATATTAAATTCCTAATACTACCGTGAACTCACTCTATATGTAAATATGTCGATAGTGTCGAAGACGTCTTTGTTAACGGGGCTCTGTGCAACAGAACTGGTTCTGGTCCTTGGTATCGCAAACAACCTTGGCTGTCGAGGTCTTACATACCCCCCCATTGGGTTGCTCCCCCCAAAGACTTTAAGTATATATAGTAGGCCAACTGTAAATTATGTCATAATATGTGGTCAGATTTCAGAGTATGTCATCAACAGTTTCAAAAACCAATCATCTGCCTATCATAAATAACTAAATCCATAAACTCAGTCTCCACGTTCATTTCCACTTAGTCATGAAGGCGGTAAAAATAAATGAAACCAAATCACTAACAGATACGGTTAAATGTTTTACATACTATATTTTCCTGATTATAACATATAATACACTCTTAACAAGTGTATACTACACCTAACTAAAACTACAGTTATCTAGGCGACGGTTTAGTCATTGAGCTGAGATTAGAAGCCTGATTTATTTATTAACAGTGTATATGTTTTGTTTGTTTGCCGCTGACGGCTGCTTCCCAATCATAAACGATAGTTTATTTGTTACCGAATTGAGATCTAGAACAGTTAGTTGGTTTATTTAGATTTTAGTTAAATATAACAAACAAAGGGTACATTCTATAATCGATTGAATATTCGATTTTTAAAATTAGTAATGTTTAATATAATTTACCTCAATGACGACGATGTAGGCCTCAAAGTACCTGACCTGAAAATATGTTTATCTCACAATAGACACATAAACTTATAACCAAAGTTGCTATAATATTGTATTAATTAATTTTCCCATGTCAAGTGTTCAATCGCTAGTTTAGTAATTAATTCATCAATATTATAATGAATTATCTATATGTATGTACGTTAATTAAAATGTCAGGGTGTGGAACCTTCGGCAATTAGGTGCACGAGTTGGTTATAATTCAATTAATGTCGTTATCTCAAGGGGCCAATTTTGAGTTCCCGTGATCGTATTAGAACTAGGGAGACGGAAAATCTTTGATATAATTGTATTGTATTAAATTGGGGTGCTATATTTAGGAAAGGTTCTATTCCATCTATTTAAAAGGCTCTATGAATATCGAATCTCTTAATCACTTTTCTTTACTGGCACAACCGACTGGAAACTTATTAGAAAAGAATGAAAAAACTTTATTATACACAATATACGGAATATTTAAGTAAAGTAAAGTGCACTGGCCCCCACACTAGGATTCCCTGTGTTGTGGGCAGCCAGTCTCTTCCTTTTGGCATGTAAACTGTATTTTACTTTATGATTTCTACATAACACAAGTTTATATTTAAACTATTTTTGCACAATAAGAATATTTTCTGTATCAGAATAAGACAGGTTGACAAGATTTTGTTTGAGATTTTTAGTAAGTGTATGTAATGTGAGTTTTGAAATGTTAGTGATAATTTTGTTTTTAAGGAAGTGGTTTTAGATGTAAGGGCCTCAGAAGGAGAAAAAGCTATTGTATAGGTAAAGTACATTACAATACCATCAAAGCAAATATAGGGATCAGAAATTGTCCTTACTCCTTACATCAAAAACAAACATCCTACATAAAGCAGATGCAAATGCTAGCATACATTTTTTTTTATAACACGAGGTGTTATTCGGATTAATACCTGCAGCTGAGTTTCATCATCGGACGTCGTCACCTCGACGTTAGTCGTTTTCCAAATAAGCCGCCGTTTCTGCGGCGCACCACCATTATGTGGAACCAGCTGCCCCCTGAAGTATTTCCGAACCAATTTGACTTTAAGAAAACAGCGTACTAACTCTTAAAAGGCCGGCAACGCACTTGCGAGTCTTTGCCCGTTTGTCCCATGTTTTATATATGTATAAAAAAGAGACCATTGACAATATTCCTCCTAGCATGGTATTATTGTGGAATATGGATGTACCTTTGTTCTGAGTAACTTTCACTTTGACCTGCTGTTTGCAACTTGCAAGTGATGTCGCGGGCAAAGTTTGTCCATTGCTAATGATTCCAGGGGTCAGTCGACGTGCTCACACGTTTCCTGCGTGACTTATCCCGCAATACACAAATACACGGACGCACGTGACCATGAATGATTATGTGTTTCTTCCCAAATATCTATTGTTAGAGCTCATTATAGATATATTGGGCAATTTAAACCTCACCTAGTGTCTATTCGTAGGTGTCAAATCAGTGGCTTTTCCTCTTCTCATGCATAGTTTACTAGGAAATTCTTGCTTTGTCAACTCCTCATTTAAGTAATTAATATCATATATGTATAGCATTCCATAATTTTGTAAGAATTCCATGTTTTGTTAAACGTATAACCATCAGATTTTTGTGCCACGAAAATGTAGCAAGAGCAGAACCGGTATTTTTGTTGTTTAACTTCGCTAAGTAAAAGGTTAAAGATCTGTCAAGAAAACTGAAGTAAAACCCATAATTTTCCGCGACCATTAAACAAATTGATGATTCAGCTTCAGGCGCACCCGCAGCCTGATTTATTATGGCCACTACGACTTATTTATTGCTGAGAGTTATGTGAAAATTGTAAATAGCCGACGGGAAAAATTACCTTAACCGCTTTCCCAGAGAAACGGCTCAATTCCTTAACGAATTTAACAAAAATATTATATAGTAATATACAACAGTATTCTATACACTAAAAATTTTCATGTAAGGCAAAAAGTAGTTTTGTGCTGTATAACCCCATGAAGATGATCAATGCAGTTTTACTGTAAAATAATTTCAAAGATACACGTTATCTATTACTTTTAGGTATTTTCAATATGTGATGGTGATGCGGTGTACATAAACGGCTGGACCGATTTAAAAAAAAATTTGTATGAGTTTGGGTAGCGCCTTGGATGGTTTGGTTTAGATTCTCAAAAACCATCCAAATTAAAAATATATACATATTTGTCTTTCATTTCATACTTTGATTCACATCCTAATCGCTCAAAATATCATGCAGGGTCCTGTCGGGTCCGCTAGTATCATATAGAATTATAGAGTATTAACTCCATGCAATGTTGACTTTTTCGCCTCGTTGTCGATTCAATGTTTTTTACTTCAAATGCCAGTTACATTCTTATTATTATATGCCCTTGATTAGGGAAATGACAGAATAAATTTAGAAGCATTAATATTATTGACGTTCATATGTGTACCGATATGAAAAAGTCATAATTGGATTTGGGTTTATGAAACAAATTTAAATAATCAATGAAAGTTTATGCTATGTTGATATAAACTGTGAGTTTACAGATTCTAATATATGATGTTAATGCGTAAAGTATTCTTGTACTTACATCTCTGATTACTTTGATTTGAATGACAGACCACACCTACACTCTCAACAATTTGTATCGCTACTCTAGAATCATTTGGTAACATAGTTTGTAACTTTGTAAGTATTATATTCTTAACCACGTTTAAGAGTACCCGAAGTTTACAATTTAAGCCGAAACTTTTTATTGTCGTATAGATCGAAGATGTTTGAACGTATTGTGTAGTTTGTGGGTTATATTTTTAAATATATATAATATTTAACCAACTATGATTATTACTAGGGTAATGCAATATAGATATTTTATTTATTATACAAATTTTATACTATTAAACATTCAAAAATTTACGACAACTATTATTTAGTATAAAGCATGTCCAATTATTCCTATTTCATTTTTGGATAGAGAATGTTACACACTACACAGGATTGAGAACAAAATAATTGTAAAGGCACAACACAGTCAGCCACTTTGACAATTGACAGTTTTTCACTTGTCAAAATTTACTGTTCTATTGGCACAGACTATTACACTAATTATAAGTTTATTCATTAATCTATGGAAGAAACTCTGTTTACTTACAAAGTTTAAATTAAAGTCAAGTTGAATATGATACAAAGCATATATCGTTAAAGCAATACAGAATTGTGGTTCTAAAATAAAAATGAACCTTTCATCACGCCTAGTTGTGAATATTTAGTGGGAGATGAAAACTACAAAGGGTTACACAAACGCCATCTGCTTTACGTTACTTGTACCGATGACAGTTTCATTTGGCGCCATGTTTTCTAGTTCAAATGAATATTTTTACCATTCTCATAAATACAAGGTTAGTTCAGTGGATAAAAGCTTCGTCATGGTGTCGAAACTTTATACGAAGAACGTTATAAACAGATATCTATATGGAGTATTTTAAATATGGGGTAGTACCTACCTGCTATTTAATTACTGGACTAGGTAAAATTCAAACGTTTAACTTTATATAGATTTAAACAACTCCCTCTGGGGGCCTGGGTATTATACCCAATCTGGTTACGATACCCAATTGTTTAAGAGCCCTCAAGGGCCGGCAACGCACCCTCTATAGTGGGTGTCTATGGACTGCGATGACTGCCCATTTTTGGCATCCCTTAGGATAGTTTTTCTATAAAAAAAAACTATTGCTAATTATATGTTTTTTTTCTTGAACTAAATGAGTCCTACTTTGAACAGTGTATCTTTTATGCCTGCCTTCTTTGTTTCTGTATTTCAATGGTCTGTGGGAATAGATAATTAATAATAAATATTGAGTGCAGAAGTCTGTCAATTTGTAGACGATTATTAGAAACATTAAATAACGTAAAATAAATTATAAATCGTACCAAAGACATAAGTTCCGTTGTTATTAAGAGAATATTTCATAAAGGTTCAAGCCGAGCCTTACACTAGCATTAGTAGAAACCGGCGATATTAATAGCCCGTATTTGCGGCGTGCAACAGTTGCCTAATGTGCCCATATATCCTTGTACATTGGGATTACGGTGACCACACGCGTCGGTTTGCTGGGATAAATTCTGTCGATTCTGCTAATTGTAATAGAAGCGGAGATTTCATTTTACATTTTAAATAGTTGGACTTGCCGATGATACGCTTTAAATAAAATGGTTTAAACAAAAAACAAATATATATAAATCTAATGTACGTGTCACGTGTGTAATGTGTATGTTACGGAACTCCTCTTAAACGGCTGGACCGATTTGAAGGAAATGCTGCCACGGGGATCAAACTTTTTAAATTGGTTTAAATTTTCTATTTATCAATCTTTAATTATTATTATTACTATGTAAGTTAATATTGTAAATAGTGTATTTTATAAAATATGTAACAAAGTATTTAAATATTTAATAAAGATTAATTTAATTTACAATTCCATAACGATCTTATAATAATGACAGAAACAGATAATGTCAAATATCATAAATACAACTAAAAATATTTTTTTCTGTGCTACACAAATTAATTCATATTCAAGTTTCAAATTAAGTTTCGCACTTTTATTTTGGTAGTTTTGAACTCTCAAACTTGCCTTAACATGTCTGAATACTAAGTAAATACTGTTATCCTTCATCTTTCCAGAATGCAACTGTAATGGCCACGCACGTCGGTGCCGCTTTAATATGGAGTTGTACAAGCTGTCCGGTCGTGCGAGTGGCGGAGTCTGCCTCAAATGCCGTCATTACACCGCAGGAAGACACTGCCATTACTGCCGGGAGGGGTATTACAGGGACCCCACGAAACCTATCACACATAAAAAGGCCTGCAAACGTAAGTACATCCTTATTTTTTTATCAAAATCACATGTAATTGACCAATGTGGTTCTATACGCAGAAATGATAAAAAAGTCATTTAAATCATTTTCACAACAGGCATATTACGAAATTCCACCCGAACCATCTCGACGTCCGTCGTTCCATAACTAAGCGTTTTAAGGCAGTTTTTGTGCACGACCACTATGTGGAACCAGCTGCCCACTGAAGTTTTTCCCAACCAATTCGACTAAGGGTACTTCAAGAAAAGAGCGCACCAATTCTCTGGCATTGAGAGTGTCCATGCGCACTTTTAACATCAGTTAAGCCTTATGCCGTTTGCGTTCTATAAAAAAAAATAAAAAAGAAAGAAACAGGTGTAAATGCACCCCGTATATTTAGCACCCCGTAGCTTTACGGGTACAAGGTATTTGTAATAAAACTTTGTTTTATCATTCATTAATTGAAAGAATATACCTATAGGATACTTTTAAAAATGGTCACCTATTTTTTTTATATACTAGATTTTAATTGAAAAGTGACAATCCACTTGCTATTATGCACTAGGGACCTCAGCACATTGTATACGCACACGAAAATCGTAGTCAATTTAAGAAAAGCTTTTCTACCAAAAGCTCTCAGTTAAATCGGAAACTTAACTGGCCAATAAAACCCCGACAGTCAGCACTAACCGAACTTGTTACTAACGGATCCCGCGAGGCTCGTTGTAAGTTCGATTCGCAAAAGGTTTTATGGACAAACTATTTGGTGACCACGGTAAATTGTGTTTAGGGCTGTGCCGCACAAGAAAATTGTTATAATACAAGATGTTTTTACCTTTTACGATACCAAGATTATTTCTGCCAAAGTGACGTTTATTTACGGTCCGTACCGTAAGTCAATATCTTCGATCACTAAAGTACTGCTAAAGGCGCAAAAATATCCTAACATTAAAGCTGCAACGTACTCGCGAACCATTTGGTGTAGTGTTCATAGCCGACACTTAAAGTGCGAGTCTCCACGCCAATCTTTAGATTATTACCCCATTCATAAAAACTAAATCAGTCTGCACAATCTTTGCTAAAGAAAGAGACCAATGTTCTATTTAGTTAAAAGACGCAATTCGTTTTTTTTTAATTTAATTTGAACCCTTAGGGACAGACTTCACAATATGATCAAAAATCGACTTTTAAAAATACCGTTTAGTTAAATATTATATTTCTAAAAAACCGTAATAATACGGTTAACAAGTTAAAGATTCTGTATTGAGGTAATATCAATGAAGTCTTAACGTCCCTTCTATAGCAACCCTAATATGTTCTATTTTATTTTTAGCGTTTATCGGTGTTGTTCTTTCATTACATTCTTTTGTTTTTCTTGTTTGGTTTCTTGATATTTGTTTTAGTTTTAGAAATATTGTTCTGTTAGCGCTTCAGATTTTCACATACAGTTTATTTCTTTCATCTTTTGTGAGTAACCTTTTGTTATGTTCCTTTAAAGTTAATCCTAAATATAGTGTTATAAAATGAAATAAATCAGCGCTACAACCTTTTTAGGTCTGGGCCTTAGATTTATGTATCTGTTTAATGATGCAAGTAGGTGATCAGCCTCCTGTGCCAGACACGCCGTAGACTTTTTGGGTTAAGGCTAGCCGGTTTTCTCACGATGTTTTCCTTCACCAAGTGTACGGTTCCTGGGTCATCGGATGCTTTAAATAAGAGAAGATTTTTGTTTTACTCTATATTAACCGCGTATAACAATAGAATATGAGCGAAATAATGAAATGTTAATTGCTATGTAAAGAATGAATGCGATTTAACAGTCAAAAGAGAGTGCCTACGTCTGGCTATGCTCTCAGGGTGTAACTGCGACGATTAAGGAAATCGTCACGCTTATAAGTGATCAAAATGTACAGCCATGGCACGTACATAGGAAATCATCATGCTTATAAAACTAAGAAAGCCTGAGTGAGGAAAATGTACAGCCTTGGCTCGTACACCAAGTGAAACTTAATAGCCCACATAGAAAGAAAGTCCATTGGTGCACAGCCGGGGATCGAACCTACGACCTCAGAGATCAGTCACACGCTGAAGCCACTAGCACCAGGCTAGCACGACTCTATAATGGTTCTATGCTAAAATTAATATTATAACAAAATTGGCTTAACATGTTCTGGCTCATATATATATTTTATTGCAAAATTTGTACGCAAAATCTTTACGATATTCACAAACATTTAACTTAATTGCACTATAAAATAGCCACATACATCACAAATAGCGGTTTTTATGAGCATGTCAACAAACCTATAAAATTCTAGAACTTCCTTTATTTTGGAGGGAGATAATTATAGTTTTACGATTCCACCTGTAAATATTTACTTTTAAAAATAATGTGCGGCCCAACAATAATATTTTCGTCTAACTTTGTCTGTTTTCTGTCAAACGTTTTTCTAATGGTCTACAGTAGTTTTAAATCGCTTTGCCATTTTGGACTGTAAATTTGGATTGATTTTGTCAATATTTTAGCAAAATCAAATTGCAAGCAAAATTTTACTATTAAGTTTCTAAAATAATAATCAAAATATATGATTATTTATAATTAAAAATTAATAAATAGAAAATTAAAACAAATTTAAAAAGGTTGGTCCGTTTGGCAGTGTACCTTTAACGCTGGCAGCATTTCCTCGCTGTATTGCGATACTTATTCGTTGTGCCAGGAAAGTGCCAGATGTCCCCAGACACCGGTACTATACCAGGCGCTAACTTAAATTTGTAATTAGCGCCTGTGTACTTGAACCCCACCGCCCAAGAGTCTTTACTCCAAAAGGAACAAAATCGAAGTTGGAACAGAGACGCTTATTGAGCTGTTTATTATTTTCCGTCCCAGCTTTTTTGCTTGTCCGAGGGAGGTGAGACGGAGCGAACATGTCCACACAAGTAGCATCCCATACCAAAGCCCGTCCCATGTTCAAAGGGATCAAATAATTGAACAAATTAAGTAATAAATAAATAAGATTTTAATTTAACTAAACATATATTCCGATTACATGCCTTTACTTCTGTGAATGTGTCCGAAATTTAAAAATATTAGTAAGAATGAAAGAACTCCTTTATTAATTACTATCACAATTTGAGAGATATTCTTTATGCTTTTCCTGTGTAACAAACAGGCGAGCGGCATATTATAAATTATCTTTTAATTTTTATGTCAAGTCAAATTCAAAAATCATTTATTCATATAGGGAACACAATGTACACTTATGAACGTCAAAAAATAAATATACATTAAATGCTTCTAATTTTACATTTACTGCCAGTTCTCAAATCAAGGGCGTAGAACGGAAGAGAAGAACTGGCAATAAACAAATAGAATAAAAAAATGGATGTTGTTTCAAACTAAGATTAATAAATAATTTATTTAAAACTAATAAAACACTATTTTGACCGGATTGAAGTTATGTATTATTATAAATTTACAACTATTTAACATAATTTTAAATTTATCCGACGTTTCGCGTGCTTTACAGCGTGCGTGGTCACCGTGACCACGCACGCTGTAAAGCACGTTAAATAGTTATGTTAAATAGTTGTAAATTTATAATAATACATAACTTCAATCCGGTCAAAATAGTGTTTTATTAAATGAATAAAAGTTATGTTAATCAAAGACAATACTTTATTTAAAACTATTTCAACTATTAAGCTTCTCTTTTTTTACAATATTCTTAACATACATGATAATAATAATAATCTATTTAATACTTATAACGATATAAAGTTTTTTTAATTCGTATCAGGTTATTTTAAACGCGGTTTCTACTGATTTACTGTACGAGAAACTAAAAGCTGCCTTTGCTAGCCAATTAATTGTAAACCTTCGCTGATGTAGCGTCTACAAATTCTTGCAACTTCAGCGTGTAGTGTCAGTGCGGTTAATTCGTTACACGACAATAAACATGGGTTTGTCTTCAGACCACAAATGCTTGGTTTGTAAGGTATACTTTAAGTAGATTTAATCACAACTTTGATAATACTAATCGTTTTAAGATTGAATTTAAGTTAATTTAAAAGTTCTTAATTCAAGATGGTGCCGAACAATTTTCGCTTATTTGGAATTTAAGATTTTCATTCAAATATGACATATTACTTTTTAATAAAACTTTGACATAATAATCGTGGGAAACGTAACAGAACGGAAGAGTATGGAGTTTCTTGCCCATTCCACTCCACATGAAATTATCTTTTGGAAAAGGCAACTAGACATTTTTTTTTAATTTTAACTTGTAATTTTGACTTTCAGCACTGCCTTTTTAATAGGCCTAATTGATTTTAAATGATTTGATTGATTTTAAATTTAATTTGATTTTAAAATTAATTTAAATTTTTTTAAATTTGAATGATTTGATTGATTTTAAATGATTTTGACTTCGAAACATCTCACATTCATCATAATGATGTCAATTAATAGATACCATTTAATAGAACTATATGAAGCAACTATTTCCAGCATGCGACTGCCATCCAGTAGGCGCGAGTGGTAAGACCTGCAACCAGACGAGTGGGCAGTGTCCCTGCAAGGATGGAGTCACAGGGACCACTTGCAATCGATGCGCCAAAGGATATCAGCAGTCTAGGAGTCACATCGCACCTTGTATACGTAAGTATTAGACTAGAATTTTAAACGAAAAACCTTTCACTTAAATACAAACACACACAGTAACGCATTTGGGTTGGCTGATACCTATGTACAGGGTTCTATTTAGAGGCCAAACACTCAAATACATATTTTATAATGCGCATTATTTGTTTCTCACATTTTGAGAAATATTTTCCAAGTTTGTATCTACGCACACTTACGCGACTACTCCACTTTTAATAAGCCTTTTAAAGATTCTGAATGTAATGTCTTACGTTATTCTCTTTAAGCCGCTGTTAAGCATTCCTGGACGTTTGTATAAGGTGAATCATGTAATAACTCGTTTAACTTGAAGAAATTTTACTTACGTATTTAATAATCCACTATACTATGTGCGCTGTAGCATGGTGCGGCTTAACTTTTCTTTCAATTTGATTTTATTTGTAGACTTACATTCTGGCTGGGTTAAATTTAAGGTACTACAGTTATTAATGATTTAATACATTACGAATGTGGTACAGTTGAAATACTAAGTCATAATTTGTGAATCGCGGCAACTTTCAAGAGTGAAACGAAACGTTACTGAAGCTGTCACCATGCTACAGCGCACATACCTTAAGTAACGTCCTTTAACGGCAAAGTTCTTGCCACGAAAGCGGTTTATCCAAATTCATTATTTACACCCAATATCTCCGGAACCTTTGAGTGACATGTCACATCCGAACTGTTTCATCATCATGATCATCTGTTTAAATTATGGTTGAAGGAATAATTATTATGCTGCCTTCTAGGTATACCTCGCGTCGTGACAGCAGTCCAAGCGATGGAGGCGGTGGACGCGGAGCCGGGACGCGGTAAGTAGTAAGTGGATTTCATTGCACTCCATCACATCTACACCAGGCATGATAACCGATGCTGATATACCAATTAAGACGTGATTTAAATGACAACCTTAAAAATAATACTTAAAGTTAACGATTATCTAGTTGATAAAAGGGCCTGTTACTAGTGCTAGACAGGCTACTTCTAATTAATTTGCGATATTTTTTTTTAAATAAGTGTTGTTTGATGATTTGCTATTTTAAAGGAGTACCGAGAGTTTTTTACGCCGGCTTTTTCTCTCGGCCTACACCCTCTGTCTTCTTTGCCGATGAGTAGGAATGCCTAAGTATTCAAATTTAATGACGTGGAATAAGTGATACCTGTATCCTTTGACAGACATTTTCCTACATCTATTTCTTTATTTAACTTTCCTAAAAAGGAGCCATCTGTACTCTTACGTGAGTAAATGATGGGCATGTTCCTTTATGTTTTCCGTCACTAAACGAGCATAGATTGCGTGTGTAGAAAGAAAACTTTACTGCAAAGTAAGCTAAGTTTAACCACGTAGCTGTACATCATATTAAAAAATAAAAATAATCCCTCAAGTAAATTATATCCGCATCGGTTATTTATTTAGATGTTTTTTGAATGAATTTATTTTCTTCCTCGTAGATAACTGTGTTATGTACACAGGAGCACTGTGTTATGAAATTTCTTAGTTTTGATTTATATTAACATTCTCTTCAACGTCTCTGTAAGACAAAAACGCGATACGTACATTATTATATTCATTTCTCAAATTAATTGTTCAAACATGATATGCTACATTGGGAGACAATGGGGAATGGGGCAGGTAATTTCATTGAGTTCACAACATGTGAATAAAATTTACTGACGAAACAAAAATAAAACATAAGAAATTAATTAGTAAGTACAAAATTACATATTAAAAATACAACAAACTTACTACTATAGACACTAAAAACTAATAGAACTTTTGTCAGTTCACTCAATGGACAATGAAAAAGGTTCGTTTACCTATGTAATTCGTTAACTACATTAATAAACCGAATCATATGTGCCCTTTTCAGAAGTTACCTTCTGAAAAGGTCCTAGCTGTGGGCACATGAAGTAACGGCGTACGATGTCGCTTTCTGACGTATCCATCAGGCACGTCAGACCTAAAACTGCAGATTCAGGCAGTATCGTATCGCAAAAGCTATCTTGACGATTTTTACTGACATTTTCAGCGCATAATGTATGAGTGCGAAATAAGGATGCATATTATTATTCCATTTTTTTCTATGGATTTTAATAAAAAACTTTTTATGATATAAACTAAACTTTTTCTGATATTAATTCTCACCTAACGGTACTAGAAAGAAATAAAATTGATATCGTACTTGTTGTGATAGATTATGATCTCTGTGACCACAGTGCTTGAAACGAACAGATTAGAAAGTGTCTTAATAAAAATACATTTTACTGGTTAATATTAGGCAGTGAACGTTTAATTCTCAAATAAAAAAAAATCAAACTACGACCTGTTTATATTTCAAATGTTCTAATTACAAATCCAATTCACAATATTCATCCATTCCAACATTGCCCGGTTTAAGACCAAAACGTCCTTATGGTCATAAAAATGATTACTCTTAACCTTGCAAATTTTAAATATTGATTAGAATTAATAAGAATAGTAATAATTGATCAATTTGATTAGCCAAGATCCGTCTTCTGTGCCTAAATAACGGATAAATAGCCGACATGCTATTTATTCGTTATTTCAGACACATTCGTTAACCATAAAGCTAAGCGGGCGGGAAAAATCTCGCGAATTAATGAATGATATACATGAAATAACATCTTGACTATGACTTATCACCTATACAACTATATAACAAAATATTAAAATTTTTAATTCTCATCATTTTGTGATAATTTTTTCGCCGCCATCAATCAGATTTTAGTCTTCTAGGCTCATTCTGATAGTTAATGATTTTAAATTGAGTAAACACGCCAATATTTCGAATTTTTGTCGGTAATTTATTTGTATGTTTAAAATGTATGAATAGGTTAGTATGCTTCATTGTCCCTCAATGAAAGGAATATATTTCCAAAATCTTCATTATGAAACATTATTTTAGAAAAAGATTTTGTTTCACTTCTTGTTTCTAAACTGCGTATAAAACCTGCCCCATTAATTGTGGCCATATCAATCACATTATCATATTATGAGTTACAAAATATTGATTGATACATCCGGAATGTTTTCACGGCAATTAGACGTTTCAAATAGGTTTATTGCATTAGATTTATTACTATTACAAACATTATAAATTACTGCCAACCGTTCGAAACTTATTCCACATTTATTAACTATTTGGTAACCGCCATTTTGCGTGTACCAGATGTAAGATTTATAAAGTTATCGCTTGGAGTGTCTAAACTCTAAAGTAATTGTTTAATAATTAAGACAATCACAAGTCCATTGTTTTAGTGCTGTGTTTATTGCATTGTCTGTATGGAATGAAATGTTATTTTTTTTATTAATAAATATATACAATATACATATATTTATTATGCAATAGGAAAATTCCACTTTTTTGTATTTTTTAGTTAGATATAGACATACAAATCAATTTTATTGAGACTTATAAGTCTTAGCTCTAAAATTAAATCTAAAATATATTTTAACATTTGTCCATATGGTGTTTAGTCACTCTTATAATAATGCACCCATAAGAAATTAAAAGACTTTTAACGGTCGTTATCGTAAAAAATTAATATAATACTTTAAATTAGTAACACAAAATATTCCCGAAAAAATGTGTCAAACCAAATCAAATTAATGATATATTTTACATGAATCATTTAATCGTGCTACATAAATCAAATTAATTAATATCTAGAATACTATAAAACATTCATAACGCAGTGCTTGTCGTTAAAGTTTACAATCTTAAAACAGAAACTTAATGTCCCAATGGCTGCATTAAACCCCCGTTTCTTTCAGGGCTTATATTTTATTCATCATCTCATACATTTTGTTTTCTTTATATTTGTGTCAAGTGCGAGACGAGGTAAACATTTCATTGTTTCTTGCATGCCAATTACTATGTACATTATATGACATTTTTGTACCGTAAATATAAGTTCATCACGGCAATGTACTCAAAACTCGAGTAACAGTTACTTATAAGAGATATTTTGTGTGCTGAGACATCATTTACGGTATATGACATTTTAATTGGGAGATCTTCCATTTTTAAAATTCTACTTGCTGTCATTTTAACGCTATATATGAATAGTTTCATTTACCTGTATAAATGGCTTTATTTCCAAATTAGATCATATTTGAAGAACTGTCTGACTTCAGACTATCCTTAATGAATAATTCATTTCTGATGAATCACTATTTCAATCGATTGCCCTTCCTCTATTAATATCAATTGAGACTTTCCCATATCAATGTATTGAAGTATGTACGAGTGGATGTAATCTGACTTGTAAAATGTACGAATAGCGGAGCAGTGCGGCCGGTGCCGCGCAGGCGCGAGAACTCTAAACCTCAACAAGTTCTGCAGCCGAGACTACGGTGAGATTTCTTCATTCATACCCTTTTTAAACAAAAAACGTGTACAAATTTTTTTATAGGTCAAAATTATGAGACAAAATTCAAGTGTAAGCCAATACTTCCATCTGTCATATCATTTACACATGTGGAATGTGAGAATTGGTACCTGTCAAATTAGAGAAATTATCGCATTTTTATTTAAACTACGACTCGTTTTAATAGTTGGTATTTTAAATATTAATGATTGCACAGTTGACAGAATAATCTTTAGCTTCTATGGTTAATGATGATGAGCATTGCAGTCATAATGGGTCGGGTGGTCGGTCGCGAGGCGGCGGGCGGCGAGGGATGGGCGCGGCTGGCGCTGAGCGTGCAGGCCGTGTACAAGCGCGCGCCGCGCAGTCGCCTGCGCAGAGGGAACGTCGCCCTCTACGTCCGCAACGTAGACATCGCCTGCAAGTGCCCCAAGATCAAGATTAACAAGTATGTTCTTAATAATAATCTATTATATGGACTATTGAAATGAAACTAGATTTGTAGTCCCATTTAATTCGAGATTTTTACTTATTAATTAAAAACCATTGCGCTACTTATTCTAGGTGGTAAACCTAGAAGTTGGATTTTATTGTATACGAGTACCAGCACTTTTAAAAAAGTAATATAATTACAGTGTAATATGTAACCTTACATATAACGTTTAATTGGGACAATAATTTCTGAACCATTTGCACAATAGCTATTTGCCAAAATAAGTTTATTATTTTTAATTCATGTCCTCGATGTGTTAGTACAAGCTTTACTTTTTTTCGCGCCTAACGTTACGAAGGCGCCAAAGCCTATTTGAAAGACATTTTCCTGTCAATCAAACATAAACCGTGTCAACTGTAGGGCTTTTGCTATTTACGGTCATTTTAGACCGACGCCATGGCGGTTATGGCTTATGGAGCCGTGGGAACGTGTGTGACACGATTCTGGGTAATCCACTTGTCTGGAATCGAACTGGAAATATTACAAAATATCTATTATGTTGTTAAATATTAATATTTTGATTTGAACTTAATAATAGAAACCAAATTTCCCTAGTTTAAAAAAATCATATTTCCAAACGAATTATTTTATTGTGTGTACTACAACTCATACAAATTATTTATTCCCAGGTCCTACCTAATCCTAGGAGTGGAAAAAGAGGGTTCGTCTTCTGGCTTCCCGGGCTTAACGGTCGGAGACAGGACACTGCTGCTGGAATGGCGAGACGACTGGCACAGACGCATCCGGCGCCTGCAACGACGCGCGATTAATTGTCATTAGCCATCTTGGATTTGAATGTTGCCATAGCAACTGTCGAGATGTATGCAGCCTACAAAATCGAATGTTGAATGGATCCGTCTAAGTTCCGTGCAAATAACTGCCATTATGCTATCGAAATAGTTCACCTAGTCGTTTGTAAGGTCGATAGATTTCTAGATATAGTTCTCGTCGATTTAACTCGATTTTTTAGGTATGACAACATTGTCCAACTCTTTGTTTTATACCAAAAAGTTTTAATACTTTTTCCCTTCCTAGGATTTCGTTATCACTTTGCAATTATCAAAGTAGTTACACTCTATAACTTTTTGGTTGGTTAATTTTAACTATGTTGATGATTGTACTATAAGTGACTTTTAAGATTATTTATTGAATTAATAATGATATTATAGATGCTAAAGTCTCGTTCCATTTCATGCATTTTTGTATTATTGTTATTTTATATTGAAATGCGTATGTTAAATATTGTTTTAGGTACAGCAACTTTGGCGCGAGAAGTAAATTTTTTGGCGCGTTTTTTGACATTACGAATGTATAATATAGATTATAAGTTTTAAAAGTAAATCATATCCACAGATAGTCATAATGTTTTAACGTACCTCATTTATTAAGTACATGTAAGGATAGACTAATTAGGGTACCTTTCTTATGGCCTATTTCCGCTAATTTATTGAGTTTCGACCACATATATCTTGCCAAAGTAACTTAACGTTCTGTGTACTTATAATTTCTCTAAAAATCTAAAACAATAATTATTAATGCCTCAAATTGTATGTACAGTATTATTAGCTTTACTAAAATAGTTATAACAATTTACCTTTTGAAAACGTATACTTTTAAATCCGTCGGGATGATGAATAATTTAAATGGGAATTCCTAAATTACTATGAGCATAGTGTATAGAGCTAAAGTACACTCGAGTAATCATGTACAATTGAGACGTCAGAGATACAGGTACAGTTAGGCACACAATACAACAAATCATCTTGATGGTTGAACAATTTACAATTATCTATTGTTGGTGAATCGGTTCGGTCGAATAAATACCGCGGGCTCGTTACTAGAGCATGCGAAGATTTTGCTTGCTATACTGAATACGTAGCAAATCCACAAAAATCTGCCGTAAATGTTTACACAAAAATAACAGTTGAATTCTTTCATGAAAGCGAACTTTAGTACTCGTGCACTCAAATTATTATTTATCTATGAAACTATTTTATAGTCTATGATAGACTAACAAAGTATTATAGAATAAAATCTTTTCAACGACCATAGAGAACAAGTTGAAGTTTGTATCTGCGTAGAAACAATAAAGAAAATTATGCGTATAGCATAAAGCATGCCAATTTATTCATTGCGTCCTATCATAAACATGTCATATTTTTTATGCAAACAGACCAGTAATCCTATACACGATATATCAATCATATGTTTTTGTTTTAAGATTAAAAACTTAAGTCGTGGGGGGTTATCTCGCTAACCACAAGCGTTTTGCTACTAACGGTACTTTTCTTGCTATCCCTCTATATCTATAGAAATAGCTAAAATAATAGCATACTTTTATTTTGTTAGTTTATGGTAAAGGTTTTGGTCTCGGCCCAAAGTTTAAAAATAGCTGAAGCAAATTAGACAGAAAACGTAATATAAAAAAAATTGTTTTATCATATATCTTCTCATAGTTGTAACATTGTTTACGTTTTCAAAAGTTAATAATAATCGTTTAGGTGGTATATTTAAATGGGTATAGACTCGCTTGAACGTATGGAATGTAAAAAGTGTATTTAGTTTGTAGACTGAATAACATGTTAGAAATGCATATCTTAGATTTCTTACTATGTTTATTTTACGCGCATATTAAATAAAACATATGGAAATAATCTCAAAAATATATTATGGTAATTTAAATTTGATATATATGACGCGTAAAATAAATTTAAAGTGGTTAATATAGTTGGGTGTATTCTGTGAATGTTCCATTTTACACAACCATAATTTAATCATAGAGGGAAAAGGAATTCCACATTTAAAAACAAAAGAAAAAAATGTAACTTTTTCTTGTTTAATGGCCGTTATTGTATAATATTGTAATCTATGGAAATTTCGCGCCAATGCCGACACTAACAATTTTAAATTTGACATAATATGACTAATGTGAATTTTAGAGTTTCCACAGATTATGTCTTATCCCTCTACGATAAAAATAGTACTTAACAGTAAACAATATTTTTTCCCAAACTTGTTTGAATCAATAAACAGGACAATTCCAACATTTTGACAAACGCACAACATTGAAATTAATCGTGTAATTCCTTAAATAAATTATTTCATTTTGGCCTAATGACATCGTGCTTACTTCGTTTTTAGGTTATTTATTTTAAGAATGTCAATTTAAGTTATAGACGAAATAATTAGACAGTCCATCATTAATTGATCAATCAATTCATTAACGATGCTGAAAATGGTCTGTCTATCAGAAATATTTCGCTATAGCACTTTGTGTTTTATGATACCCTGCTCCTGTGATGTAATAAATGTTATTGGTTATATTTATTTAAATAAAGTACATTAATAATTCATATTTTTCATTTCATTCAAACCCCTATATTTTAAGCATTCGATCCCAACAAAAACACTTTTTTAAGAAGCCCAAAGACACTCAACTGTCAGAAGAAGTGCGTTGGCGACCGATAGAATTAGTAAGCTCTTTTCTTGACGGAACCTAGGTCCAATTGGTTTAGAAATACTTCAATTGGCATTTGGTTCCACATTTTGGTGCACCGCGGCAAAAAGTATCTTACGAAACGCCTGGTATGACGGACGTGGAAGTGAGAATCGATATATTTAACAGTTCTTAAAACTATCTAAAATAGCAAATGATTTATTGAATATTTCTTATATATATGACTAAAACATATTTTTAAATATAGTAATAAGATTGCTACAATTCTCGAGAATTTTACCAAACATAATGAAACAATCTTGCCAACATCAGCAGCATCACATACAATTGTTTTTACAATTCCTTGTTAGAACGTAAACTCTTTTATACGAATTAAGTAAAATATAATATTTTCTATTATTATTCTACGGGAACTTACTTTATAATTTCTATACTAGTATAAGACAAAACCACAGCCATAACTCATCCCAAAGTGCGGATATAAATAATGGAGGAAGATAATACAAGAAACAGATAAGTGGGGTGCTTCTGATTTCCCCTGGGACTTCGCCCTTCATATTAAGTTCCTATTGACACTTGAATTCAGGAAAATAGTTTGTTACAACTAAAATTATCGTAATATTAATTTAATTTAATTATTTTTGAATAGTCAGAAGGACTTGGCTTGTCTTTCTGATAATCTATTCTAAGTAAAAAATCTAATAAATCTATCTATTATAAGTAAAAAAAATAAAAAATGTTATTCTTTATAAATGCGAATTAATAACATTAATATATCTCGACTATTCGATATCATTTCATCTGGAAAATTCTGCTAAAAAAATTACTATAAGATTTTGGTCTAAATCAAACAATAACTGGTTATTAATAATTCATTTTTAATGAGACATAAATATTGACTGAAAAGAAACTTCCTTTTTCTTTTTAAATGAACCTTACGTATTATATCTAAACAAAGTAAATAAATCTAAATATTTCTAAATACCTGTTAAATGTTATCTTACTCAAACAGCGAACTATATTTTGTTTACAGATTAAATATACGAGCAATTTTGATATAACTTATTAAGTTCCCGCATTTATACGATACATACGTATTTATAAAAATAGGTTTACAAGAATATTCTTGAGTTAGAAATTATGGAGATAGACATTTATAGTTACAAGTGAAATTGTTTTCTCTTAAGTTTTAACATAAAATATTATGTAATGCGCCTGCGCAGAGATCGATGTGAGTGCAGTTCAATGTTCGCTCGATCGTAGACTGTTCTACGATTGTATTGAGATTTAATAAGGCTGTTCACAGTCGAAGGGTATTGTTATAAGATAGAAAAAAAAACAAGTTATTCTCAAATTCAATTAATATCAAGAGAAAGGGTCTAACGCGACAAAAATCTGAGATGACACACTCATCCTGTCCAACAATCAAATATTAAAAAAGCGCTCCGGCTTGTCTAAAACGTATTCGATTTGACATCTCGGAGTCATACTGATATCTGCCAACTTAGGAAAAGATCTAGTAATTATATGTATATATATATATTTAGTTTTAGTTCTTTTCTGTATTTTCAAATACATTATGGGAACTATCATATACAATGTCTGATGACCCAATAAATAAAGTAATAAATGATATACGAGAGTCATACTTTACACCAAGACTTAGTGAAATATCTGAATAAATCTTTGAAACTTAAGCGAATGGTAGAAAACGATTCTCTCGTTGAATCTCAACTCTTAAGTTGTACAAACGTCGTTCAGTTGCCTGCCCTTCTGTCTTCTATAAATTGTACTCCAGAGAATGCTCTATGGAACTACACAACCTGATTCCGTCATCCCTTTTCGTACAATTTCGTACTATTGGGACCGTCCTTTCTTGTAAAAACAGCACCTCCTGCCATCCAACCTAGACAGTTTAATATGGGTTTTTTCAAGTGGCGGTTAAATAGGCATCTCCTGGATGGTTATGCCCTCCAATTGGCCGCATCTCACTTAACATCAGGAGGGATTTTGGCCAAACGTCTGCCAGTTCTGTATAAAAAAAAAACTTAAAGATATATTTATTTATTTTCAAAAATCTTTTTTTTTTTTTTTTTTTTTTTTATAGAACGGGGGGCAAACGGGCAGGAGGCACACCTGATGTTAAGTGACACCGCCGCCCATGGACACTCTCAATGCCAGAGGGCTCGCGAGTGCGTTGCCGGCCTTTTAAGAATTGGTACGCTCTTTTCTTGAAGGACCCTAAGTCGAATTGGTTCGGAAATACTTCAGTGGGCAGCTGATTCCACATAGTGGTGGTGCGCGGCAAAAACTGCCTTGAAAA